TCAACTCAGCATCCACACCCTCTACGTCGCCGACGTGGGCCTCGCGCGCGCGGCAGAGGCGACGGGCGGCAGCAACCTAGGCAGCAACGGACAGTTCTCGCACCTGTCGACGCAGAGTGTCTTTGGGAAGGCAGCCGACGCGGGCTGGTCAGCGGCGCAGGCCGAGGAGCTGGCGCGGCTCGTGGTCGGGTTGGCTCTAGTGCGGAAGAAAGCGGATGCCGCTCGCGGAGGCGCTGCCGCGGCTGGAGGCGCTGGCCGAAGCAGCGGAGGAGGTGGAGGAGACAGCAGCAGCGGATGAGCGCCAGTGAGCAGTGTGACCTCTGCTGGGACGCGCCGCGCTCGGTGCGCTGGGGTCGACAGCAAGTGCCCGATTTGCCGCCAGCCGGCGCTGCCCATCGCCGCGACTGGGCGGCTGGTGGCGGCGCAGACGACGGCGGTCGGTGGGCGAGGGAACCCCTAGTCTAGCGGAAATTTTCGGTGTATCTCGTGAATGATCGCCGAGTATCGCCTAATATCGCCTATTATCGCGCAATATCGCGCACCCTCGCGCACCCTCGCGCACCCTCACCCCGGCGGCGGACCGCGGCCGCGGAATTCTTTGTTTTCGGAGGAGACAATCTAAAGCTGGCGGCGCAGCCGGCGCGGCGCGCCTGCGGCGCGCCGTGGTTTCTTAATTTCGCGGAAACACCCAGTGTGGTTTCTTGATCATACGTGACGTAATCGGTTTCTTGTTTTACACGAGGGCATGGAGGGGGAGAGGAAAAGCAAGGCCAAGGGCGAGAGGGGGCAGGGGATGGGTCGCTGGCATACTAGGGGGGGAAGGGTGGTGGGCGGCGACCGCCGCATACCGTCCTATGGCCGCGAGGTGTGTAGCCAGCCAGATCCAGCTGCGCAACGCGAGCGGAGCGAGCGAAGCGCCAGGATGATGTGCTCCACGGCGCACGTCCCTTTGTAACGCTTCACGCCGTCGCCGTGACGTGCTATGAAAGGGCTCGCGTGATCGCGAGCATCGCACAACATCGCCGTTTATCGCATTTTATCGCCAAATATCGCGCGGTATCGCGGTTGCGATATTGTGAAAAATTTCCGCTAGACTAGGGCTGAGGGAGGCGCGGTGGGTGGGCGCGGTAGGCGCGCCGTCGGCAGCGGCCGCTCAAAGCCGCTCCGCTGGCATCACCATGGGTGGTGGGCCCAAGGTGCCCGCCGATGAAACCGCCTACCGCGACTCGCAGATTCCACGCTGACCATCGCCACGCCCTTCGTCGGCCTCAGGGACCGCTGTGGGGCTACACGGTTGGCTCGCGCGCCCCGGATGCGGCGGTCGCATCTGGAACCACCAAGTCCGAGCAGGGCGAGTGGGCCAAGAAGTTCAACAAGTTCTTTGGCAAAAAGGAGGCACGCCCAACGCTAGCATGCCCTCACCACGTCCAACAGCCACCAGCCTCTCTCAAACTCCCAGCGTTCTCTGCTCTCCCGCCGGCCCGTAGTGCACCGCCCGCCGCCATCGCACCCCCTCGACGGCTCGCGCGCGCTCCATCCGCTGCCCAGGCGCCGGAGCCGCCCGCCAAGAAGGGCTCCCGCCTGAAGCGCCCCGGCACGATCTGAGCGCGGCGTCCGCGCCGTGCGTGAGTCTCGGGATCGGACCCTCGCTCCGCTGAGCGCGACCGTCCTCGCCGATCAGCGGCGGGTGAGCCTCGCGACGCGCTTGCCGGCGCCGGCCGCCAGCACAGGCGCACAACCTAGGGCTTGGGGCGGTGGCTCCAAACGTCGGTAGATATCGGCAGTGACGATCAGTGAGGGAGAGGTGGGTGCGGTCTTAGACAACCCCTCTGTATGATTGGAGATTGCGCGGTTTTCCCCCGTCTAGACGCGCTGGCTTCAGATGTACGCTCAGCAGGGCGCGGTGGCGGCGCTCTGGCCCCTTCACCAATTTCTCGCTTGCTCATGCGTTGGCGATTCATAAACGACAATGAGAGCAGAGAGCCAGAGCGCAGAGGCAGAGCGCAAGGAGACTGGAGTGTCGGCCCAACTCCTCTTCCCCCTCCCCCCCCTCG